ATCGACCTATCCGGCGTTACTTGTTCTCTTCTTCCTCGAATATTACACAATATTTCATGCTCAACGATCAACCCATTCGTGTTCCACTATTCACTAAGCATTCTACGACTCATACAAGAGATCTGTTATTATTTCCTTCTCTTTAGTTAGTGCTCGTTTCTCGCGAATCTGCTTTCCTTTTCTTATCCGCCGAGCAAGCTTCGTGCGATTTTTGGGCATTCGAAAGACCCCGGTATGCCCTTTTTTTTTTTTTCTTCCTCTCGATCATCTCTTTAGTTTTTCTTTTTTTTTTCCCTCTCTTCAACATCTAGCCGCCTGTCTTTCTCACATCGTTTCTCTATATTCTTCGTGCAGTTCTACACGATTTAACGGTTACAATAATTATTGGTCGTTGCATGCAGCTAAAAATCGCTTCGCATCTTCGAACGTCGAGATATAAAATTACACAGAGATATCGATGTGAACGTATGTGTACGCGTCGCAATTACGTGGCTTCGGAGTTCGAAGTTGAGAGTAACGTGTTTCCATATATATATTTTTTTCTTTTTTGGTCTTTTTTTTCGTACTTTTTTTTTTCTTCCTTTTCCTTTAATCGCGCGATCGCGAAGGAGAAACGTCGACGAAGCGCGTAGCTTCGGTCATTGGCGTTTCGTTTCGCCATCGCGCGATGCGTGTGTCTGTATGTGTGCTGCTGTGTACGTAGGTACTCTGATTCTCAAGTACATGTACAGTGTCTGGATATTCGCGCTTGTGTACGCGAGACTTCTTTTTGCCACTAATTGTTTTCTTCTTCAACTTTGTTGCATAAGAAACGTATAACATTAGTAATTATAGGCATCTATAGTATTGCTTCTCGATTCAACGAATTTACGAAGATTTACCGGGCACGGTGCAGGTGTGATCTACGTTGCGACGAAACAGGCTGCTGCTCGAATCACCGGAAATAGGAGATCGAAAAAAAAAAAAAAAAAAAGAAAGAAAGAAAAAGAAAGGAACGCGCGCTTTTCTTTTTTTTTTTTTTTTTTTTTTTTCATGCCGCGCGCTCGTTCCACAGAGCGCGGTGGCCGGTTGATTCACATTTTTAATTCCATTTCTGAAGGAAATTTGACGCGACTGCCCGGGTCTCCAGCGACCCCGAGATCCAATTTTATCCGGCAGTCGCTTCGACTCGCTAAATTATTCAGACGCTTTTCACCGTTAACGCGAAAGCAGTTTGCTAAGAAGAATTCGAGACGGGAATTGAATTTATACCGGTCGAGGAATACATCTGCGCGATAGATCAATGGATCCTTTCCAGGATCGAGCGACAGCCGATTACCGTGTACACGGAATCCTTATCCAAAAAATCGCACAAGTCCGCTCGAAAGATCTCTCGTCGAATGTTCGACAGCTAAAGATACTGTCGCATCGTGCGGTGTTGTTTCTCGCCTCGGAACTCGCCGGTTTTATCGAACCTCTCCCTTTCTCTTTCCCTTTAACGTCGTCTTCACTTTCGTCGGTACTCTCCCCCTTGTATACAAAGCTAACGACTACTTTTACTTAACATCGTGGTTTTTCTCCTGTTTCACCTTTAATTTTTACTTTTATTACACCACTTTGTCTTTTTTTTCTTCTCGAAATTTTCTCGTGTGCACGGTGTGTACGTGTATGTGTATATATATATGTGCGTGCGTGTCTCGTGTATGTGTACATATTTGAACTGCACTGTATTCTCTCGATTATCGCCTAACATTTACCGTTTTTTATTTTTTTTTTTTTTTTTTTTTGCAACGTTAGTTCATACTTTGTTGCTTCTTCCTCTTCTTTTTTTTCTTTTTTTGTTTCTTTTTCTTTTGTTTTGTGAACGCATTGAAAAAAACGCGACATGATCGTCGCCGAGATCACCCTCGTTAGCGCAAGAGATCATAACAATAGTACGTTGATTTAACGTTAAGTTATCATTATTACTTTATAATGCGTTGTGTCGTTGTCTCTGAATAAGTCAAGTCGGTTCTTCATTACGAGTTACGCCGGTATTCGTCACAAGGTTTTCCCCTGGAATCTCGGGACACGATCGCGTCGTATATTTTCCATCCGCGGCCTTCTATCGATCACGGATTCCTCTCGCTCGAGTAAAGATCGATCGAAGAACTCGAGGACGAGAATGATGCACGCGAGGGTGTCCCGACGTTCCGGGAAACGCGGTTCTATCTTCTCGTCTTCCGTTCCTTTTTCCGCTTGACACGGTCACGTAGAACGAAA